CCCTACACCTGGGTGTGGGGCCATTTGGACTCCACTGCATCAATAGTAACAGGGCCAGCCCTGGTACACACCTCCCCCTTCCAGGTTTCAATTCACTTTGAGGCCAACAAGCCCACCTCCTTGCCCTTCCTCAAGAAAACATCAGAGTTGTAGTGTACGCTCCATGGCTGATGCGCTATAAAAAAATTAAAAATTTGTAAGCACAGGTTCCATGTCATTAACTTTCGGTTTTCTGACCTCACTTTATTTAACCTATGTAGTGGTGTGTGGTCTGTCACCACTGTAAACTTATGACCCATGAAATAATAACAGGAACTCTCTATTTCCCACTTCACTGCTAGACATTCTTTTTTCGATTGTGGTATATGCCTGCTCCTGGGGCTGTATTTTCTGACTAGTACAAACTACCAGATGCTTTCCTCTGTTCCCCAGCTGAGACAGCACTGCACCCAGTGCCACATTGGAGGCATCTACATATAATACAAACAAATGGTCCACCCATGATCCTGAATATACCACTACAACATCAATGTAGGCCGCTGCATATTCCCAATGAGGGGCTTGCACCCTATTAGTCTCTGAAATGTTGCAGCAGTCTTGTGAAAACCAAAGGACACAAATTTGTATAACCCTAAGAGGGCGGCAAATGCCATTTTCTCCAAAGAGTGCTCCTCCAATTATATTTGCCAGAATCCTTTTAATAAATCGGTTATAGATATTAAGCATATATCTCCTATTCTTTATAAGAGGGGTTCTACCTGGGGCATTGGGTATGGGTCAAAGTGGGTCATGTGGTTAACCTTTTGGAAGTCAATGCAGAGGTGCGTGTTCCGGTCTTTTTTGGGACCTTGATGATAGGATTGTTCCACTCATTCAGAAATTCCCCAGTGACTAGGGCTGTGAGAGGCTTTGGATCGTGCTTTGGATCCGGATAAGCTTTGGACACTTTGGCATCCAAAGCATCATGTCCAGATTGAAGCACTGGCTTCTTTAGGCTTTACAAAGTGTTTCAGAGCTTCTTAACTGCTTCAGAAAAGCTTTGGAGCCGCCTTGGAGATCCAGCCATAGGGTATAATGGGGAATCAATGAAATATCTATAACTTTGTTGCTTTTTGTCTGCTTTGGATGAAACTTGCCAGGTTGGTAGCCTCTGTGAAGTCCATGAAGTCTGCCAGGTTTCAAGAAGAATGGTGCAGGGGTTCGGAAGGAACTGCATCCCAAATTCTTGAAAGCAAAACTCATGTCACTTGTATGTGTTACAGCACAGGTAGATGAAAACTGCAGGGATGGTAGCCCCTGATGAGGCCACAAAGTCTGCCAAGTTTCAAGAAGATAGATGCAGGGCTTTGGGGGGAACTGCACCTCAAGCTTCTGACAGGAAAAGCATGACATAGATGACCCTGTGTGTGTTAAGGCACAGCGGGCTGAAAACTGCTGGGGTGGTGGCCCCTCCCAGCTGCTAAAAATCATCTACCAACTGTTCCACTTCTTGTACCATTTTTGGCTGATATCACTGCACCAAGGACTTCCAGTTCCCAGGACCACCATCTCCACTATCTCCTCAGCATTCCTTTCCTGAGGCCATAGCCACTGACAAGCCTCCTCTTGGGCCCCTAAGGGTCTGTGTTAGTTGATGAGTGGTCTTAGATCCTATTTTTTGCTTCCAAAATTGCTGCTTCTCCTCTGTTACCTCTAGCCAATGGAAGATGGCCTCTTTCACTATATCTCAATTCTGGGCCTTGGTTAAGGGTATTCTGCCATGAGCTACCTGTGCCTCTCCCATCAAGAACAGACCCATCTGTGTTGTCCAGGCATCTTTCTGCTGTTTTCCATCTTTTTGAATACCTCTAAAAAAAGTCTCAGGATCATCATCCCTGGGCACATGTGGCATTACCATGCCTCCAGGTCCTCCTCAGAGCTTGGGCTGCAGTAGCCCCCAGGGTCCAGACCATCACCCACTGGTTCCCTTCTACAGCTAGCCTTAACTGCTCGATATTTTGCACCTGCATTTGCACTGTACATGTAATTTGATCTCCCTGCTACTTTGCATCCTCCTGGGCTGCTGCCTGCTGCTGGACTTGGATTTGCAGTATCTGCTGTATTTTTTTTCCCTACCAACTCTCTCACTAAGCTCCCCTTGCCCTGCCCTTACCAACCTGGGAAAAAGAAAAGAAAAAGAAAAAATAACCATTCCAGCCAGGGTACCAATTTTTACACTGCTACACATAGCTTTGGGGCAGGACAGAGCTAGGTATGTTTGGTCAGGCACCCCAAACCAACCACTTTTACTTTTGCTGCTGGCTTTAGTTAAGGACCAACTATTCAGGGTCCTCACCTCTGCTGCAGCCAAGCTAGGCTATAAAACCACAAGACCACTCTGGATTTGTAAAAACTGCAAAAGAAAAATAAAGCCCAACAAATAAACTTCCATTTAGCTCTCTGAGTGGTTCCTTAGTGGCTCCATGCATCCCTGGCTCATTGGGCAGTCCCTGGGCCTTCACTTTTTCCTGTCATCTCTTGTCCCTCAGAGGCTCAGTGTGCACAGCGTCCATGCAAACAACATATACAAACAGCAGAAGAGCCCTGCTCACAGTCCTTCCCGGGGACTGCTTGACCTCCATTGGCCCCAGGCTCCTTACAGCAGCATTCCCTACTATGCTGCTTGTGCAGCCACTCAGAGAGGTTGCTATGGGTGCTTTGTATTTCCCCTCCTGGCTTACATGGGCCAGCTTCTCCTCATTCCCTAAACCTGGTCTCAGGGCTGTTTGGGTTCTGCTGGCCATGAGTCACATTGTCTGCTTGCTGTCCTGTTCCTTTCTAAAAAAGAACAATCAGTTTGCCTCCTTAAGATACACCACCTGCTTTGGAGGGTTCTTTTTGTTTGGAAAGGTGGATTGGTTAGGTGAAAAAATATGATGTGTCATCTGATACCAGAAGCCATGGGCCCTCCAGGTTACATGCCATGCATGCAGGTGTCACACCATCTCACCTTCAATTCCCTGCAGGGTCCATTCATGGCACTGCACTGCATAAGCATTCCAAACTACCAGGTCCAGAATCTCAGGCTGTGCCAGACAACCCTGTACCACCCCTGAGACACTGACATACAGCTGAAACTGGAGAAGGGAAGGGAAACCCTGAGATTCAGGCTGTTGCTGGAACCAGAGTAGTAGGGACAGCATCAGCTGAGTGGAAACCCAGAAGCTACCTGTTAACCACTCACAGGCCACATATACTCACAGGCCACCAGTTGGACAGCCCTGCTATAGATGATATATATATATGTATTATTTTTCTGCCTTGCCTTTTTAATTTTTAGCTTATGTAAGGTAAACTTAACAACTAATTCATGAGCTTCTTCTTCCTGAAGTAAAATATTTGGTCATTGAGCTATCAACTGCAAAAGGAATTATTGATTTCTTATATATGGTGTCTATTAGAGGGAACAAAGACCAATTTTTTTCTTTGTAGAGGTTACATCTACATCTTGTAAAATTTTCTGCTGCTGCTTATTTAGATGAGTCTGGACTGCAGGCCATTTGTTTTCAACTGTGTCATCAGATCTTCATATTATATCTAGATGACTGACTTAGTAATTAAAATGTCACAGTAGATGGTCTACAGTATAATTGCTAAATTTACTAGAACAAACAAACTAGTGATAGTGGTGGTGCAATAAAGGAGAATGTGAAGTAAAATAATAGTGCAGACTGGCTTCTGAATCTAAACTGAATCAAGTCTCCAGAATGGTATAAGAGGGCCCCATGTTACTGGGTGGTACTTTGTGTTATATGACATGGAAAAACTAACATTTCAGCAATTGTATGATTCCCTCAGGGATTCGTTTGATAACCCTGATACCTTGACAAAAATCCAAGGTGGGCAAATGCATTCTGCCTATGGTGAAAATTCTATCTGTATTAG